CAAAGTTAACATTTACGGACAAAACACAAACAATTAATAAATGCAACACAAATTCTAGAAATTACACACTAAGCAAAAAATTGTTTTTATTTTTTTTTTTTGAATTATTTTGGAGTAATTTTCGTGAGGCAAAAATCGCGTGCTCACAGTGTATAATCCGTTTTATACTGGAAGAAAATAACCATAACCAGGGGCGGATTTACCCTGGTTAAAGCGATGTCATCCGACACCGCTTCGTCGAAATTTTTTATTAAATATATATATTGCAGTAATCTGCTAAAGAAAAAACGTGTACAAGTAAAATAAAATGACACCACTTAGTCAAAGCAAGCTAATTGGTTCACTGGTTAATTCCTGAAATGTGAGGCAGAGGTCGGGAGTTTGAAGCTCAGCAGCTTCGTTCCTTTGCTTTAAATTTTTGAGCAACACGTTTGCTTTAAATTTTTGAGCAACACGTTTGCTTTAAATTTTTGAGCAACACGTTTGCTTTAAATTTTTGAGCAACACGTTTCTATTTTTCCAGAAGCAGCGTACTTTTTATATTAATTAGAATTAGATGCATTGTAGGATACAATTACTCATCCAATTTGTGTAGGGAAAAAGAGAACTAAACTACTTTTTTGTATAAGAAAAGGATAATAAACAATATAAAATACGAACTTAATTATTTTAGACCTACTTTTTGGAAAAATATAGTCATTGAAATCGCCGAAATTGCTTGCCGTGAGTTGTTCTACTACTTTTAGTTTTTCTCTTTTTTTTCTAATTGGAATTTCTTCAAACATATATTACTTTTCTTTTTGAGTTGATTTTTGTGCAATTTACAGGGTTATCTAATTGATGTTTTGATTTATAATTCAGTTTAAATTCCAATGAAGAGCTTTTATTCTGTAGTACCTTCCGAGCCTTTAAAACAAGGATCAACATCTCAAAGTTCATCTAACTTGGAAGAAACGATTGATGAGTCAGAACAACGTCCACGAAGTGAAGGATTTAATTTGGAATCTTTAGAGACTGATCCGGGTAAAAAATTAGCAATTCAAAAATATCATCCAAAAGACCGTGATGCAGTAAGAAGAAGATATATTCAACAAGGTCCTTGCCGACCTCGAAATCACAATTTCCCTCAAAGAAATTTTTATGGGCAATTGCGCCGCTTTAATCCTTAATGGTTTGCTGAGTACGATTGGTTGGAGTATAGCATAACAAAAGATGCGGCATATTGCTTCTATTGTTATTTGTTTCAAGATGAATGTATTAATCAAGGGGGAGGCGATATATTTTCAAGTATAGGGTTTACAAGTTGGAACAAGAAAAATAGATTTGACGTGCATATTAGTGGACCAAACAGCGTTCATAATCAGTCAAGAAGGAATTGTGAAGATTTGATGAGACAAAATCAATCCACTCAAAGTGCACTTGCTAAACAATCTGAACAACAAAAGTTAGAATACAGAACTCGTTTAGAAGCTGCAATTGATGTGATAAGATATCTTTTGAACCAAAGATTATCATTTCGGGGACATCGTAAAGGTGAGTCATCTTTTAATAGAGGTAATTATATTGAACTTCTTACATGGTATGCAAAGCGATGTAAAAATATTGATGATGCGTTTTAAAAAAGCTCCAAAAAATAACTAATTGACTTCTCCATCTATTCAAAAGGATATTATCACTGCATGTAAGATGGAAACAATTAAGAGTATCATTAAGGATATAGATGATGATCACTTTTCTATCTTAGTTGATGAATCTAGTGATGTGTCATGTAAGGAGAAAATGACTATTATTTTGCGTTACGTTGATAGAAGGGGAAGCATGATGGAGCGATTTATGGTTATTGTTCATGTTCGTGATACTTCTGCATTGTCTCTAAGGAATGAAATTGTTAGTTTACTTGCTCAACATTCTTTAAGCCCATCTTCTATACATGGACAATGTTATGATGGAGCAAGCAACATGCAAGGTGATTTAAATGTTCTTAAGATCTTAATGCAAAAAGAAAGTAGAGGTGCTCATTCTATTCATTGTTTTGCTCATCAACTTCAATTAACTCTTGTTACGGTTTCTAGAAGATATGATGAAGTACAAGAACTTTTATTATTATTTTCCGATATATTGAATATGGTGGGAGCTTCTTTCAAGCGTAGAGATGATTCGTGAATCTCAAGCAGAAGAAATAGAAGAGGCATTACGTAAAGGGGAGCTTGAAACTGGTAAGGGTTTGAATCAAGAATTGGGTCTTGCTAGAGCTGGTGATACTCAATGAGGATCTCACTATAAATCCTTTAAATATTTTATTATTATGTTTGGCCTTATTATTGATGTGCTTGATGCTATTGTTGTTAACGCACGTTTTGAAGAGAAATGTAAGGCAAATGGATATCTTAAAGCATGTTTAACATTTGAAGTTGTCTTCACGTTGCATTTGATGCGTACAGTTTTAGCAATCACAAATGAGCTTAATGCAGCCTTTCAAAAGAAGGAGCAAGATATTGCAAATGCCATGTTACTTGTTGGAGTGGCAAAGGATCAGTTGCAAACATTGAAAAAAGAATGTTGGAATTCACTTATTGATGAGGTATCTAAATTCTGTATAAAATATGATATTTTTATACCCAGATTTGATGAGCTTTATGTTATCCCTGGAAGATCACGTCGTAGAGTTTCTGAGTACACTGTTTCGCACCACTATAGTATTGAGGTATTTTGTAAAATTATTGATTGGCAATTTCAAGAATTCAATAATCGCTTTGGTGAGGTGACAACCGATTTGCTTCTTGGAGTTGCTTGCTTGAACCCAACTAACTCTTTTTCCAATTTTGACATTGAGAAGATATTGAGATTAGCTGAGTTATATCCTGATGATTTTGATAAATATTCTATGGTTGACCTTCGCTTTCAGCTTCAGAATTACCTTGTTAATGTCCGAGATCATGATAAAAGGTTTTCTGGTCTTCGGGGACTTGGTAATCTTTCCATAAAACTAGTGGAAACAAAGAAGCATGGGACTTATCCTCTTGTTTTTCAACTAGTGAAATTTGTTTTGCTTTTGCCAGTTGTTACTGGTACAGTTGAGAGAGTTTTTTCGGCAATGAAGTTGATTAAGACCGATTTGCAGAGTCGAATGTATGATGAGTTTTTGAGTAGTTGTTTGGTGCCTTATATAGAAAAGGATGTATTTAGTCTTATTCCTAGTTCGGTTATTATGAATACCTTCCAAATCATGAAAACTCGTCGAGGAGAGTTGTAGTAAGGCAATTATTTTTTAAATATGATGTTGTTACTATATTTGTTTCTTTGCCTACTTTAAATGTCGACATCACTTATGAAAAATTCTGCGTACGCCTCTGGCCATAACCTCAGATACTGAGAGGGGATTAAGTTCCTTAAGGAAACACTATAAATTCAGTAGGCTCAAATAAATATCTGCTTCTTCGACATTTCTATTCTTACGTTATTTTATTTCCAGAATTACTTTTGCAAATACATATTTCTAACATATATATGTCATTAGAGAAGGGTACAGGAACTGATGACAACAACATTTACTGTTTTTCAAACTCCCTCACTAGACGTTTAAACACGTAGATCTTGAACAAAAGAAGAAGAATATAATCTAATAATACATCTCGTAAAAGCCAATTCATTGGATAATGCTAGATATCGACATGTCGTTATAGATTGTGAGGTTTATCGAACCAAATAAGTACACACGTGAACTTTCTTTATTTTATTCTGCCTATTCAACGGCATGAAGATATATATTTTTGGTTTAATCAACTTATATCGAAATTTATTGTCCGACGGAGTTAGATGTCCTGTAAATTTAATAGGAAAACCATCAGTTATGTCCATTTATAAGTAGCTTATTATAAAAATTGACAAATTCATTAAATATTATTAATATTAGCCAATTAGTTATTTGTAGCCAAGAGAGGTCAATCTTTTTTATTCTTTTGAGAGAGTGTAATTAGAATAGATTGGGTATATCTTAATGAGTTTGAATCTCAGTTTTGGGATGATTTGGCGAAGTTTTGAGGTAGTTTAAATTGAAAATTCGAAGTGGAAGATGAAACATGAAAAAAAAAATGATGTGTATCATTTGTGTATCACACATGTATCATATTTGTATCAAATATGTATCACATGTATATCCATGTATACATGTGTGTGTGATACATGTTAGATTAGGGATGTACATAGGTCGGGTTGGTTCGAATTTTACAATTACCAAACTAAACCAATTGTGTCGGGTTATTAAATCTAAAGACCAAGCCAAACCAATAAAACTCGAGTTTTTCAATCTCGGGTTTTCTCGGATTTTTGGGTTTTTTCAGATTTTTTTTCGGTAAAATCTTCGCAGAACAAAACATATAGCGTATGCTCAAAATATTTCTTTAATCCTGGTAAGATACAACTATATAAAGTATTTTCCAAGAAAATGATACAGAATATGAGATGTGTCATGGCATTATCCTAAAATATTCAACAATAAAGATAATAAAATTATGTAATATAAATATTGCTAATTAAAAAGTCATAATAAAAATAAACATAATCTAAAAGTACTAAGTCATGCTAAAATAAATAGACTAATAAGGGAGTATTAATTACATGACTAAACGTTAAAGAAAAATAAAAATAGGTTATGCATTTTTATCTAAATTATTGCAAAATAAAAAATAGATATTCAATACATTCTCGTTCGTCATATTGAATTGAATGTCTTTTGTTAGCATTAGTATTGATTTGATTTTGGTTTGGACTTTTGTTAGCATTATTTAATTTACTAATATTAATGGCTATAAAACTTATTGGAGCATTCAAAAGTTCTAAGTCCAACCTTGAAATAACACCTTAAAAGATAAAATTATGAAATTTTTTTAAAAATATTTATAAATTACAGAACAATAAGTATATTATATATTAAATATATCTAAAATTAGTCGGGTTGGTTTGGTTTCGGTTTGACTTTCTTTAGTTAAATCCAAACCAAACCAATTATGGTCGAGTTTTTTTTTTCAATACCAAACCAAATCATAGTCGGGGTATTTTTCTCGGTTTGACTCGGATTATCGGGTTGATGCGGTTTGTTGGTTTCCTTTGTACACCCCTATGTTTGATACATGTGATACAGAAAAAAAATTTTGAACTCGATTTTAATTACGAATTTTGATACCAAATCAATGCAAATTACCTCCAATCTTCTTTAAAATTTGTATATTGACTCATCTATATATTTTCAATGAATTTCAACCATACCCGTTGAAAAAAGTCCTTTTTTGCTTAGATTTGAAATTTTGTATTTTATCACCTTGTTTGCTAGCTCATCCATGAAATTTTCTTTCCGTCTTGCATCGAATGTTATTGATCACGCTTAAAAATATAGAAGAATATTTTTGCGTGTGATTCTTGGAGAGAAATAACCTTATTTATTTGGGTTTTCAATTTTTAAATATGTTTGACTAATTTTGGTAAATCTATGATTAATGACTAGAGGTTGGTAAATTAGCACTTATTTTAGACACTTACGTAAGATTCCCAATTTAATACTCACTCACTTATTGTGCTATTTAATTTAAAACATAGCCGAAGTCTACACTTTATTTAAATTTAAGCCACATCATTGTCCATTTTTTCTGCTGCACTTCTTTTTGATAAATACAAAGTAGTGACTTCAAAAGAAAAGGCAAAATTGTGCTTTTTTTTCCCTATAAATTTCAGATATTCACATACCTTAAGGCTTAAACGACCTGACTTATCTAGTTAAAATATTTGTAAAAATTTTGAAACAAAAAAATTTATCAGAAATTTGTAGTTCTGCTATGAATCAAGAACACCAAGCACCTTTCATTAGGAGCCATGCCAAGAAGTTCAAGGATGTAAATAAAAGGACTATTTAATATATGTGTTCGATAGAACTCAATAGCTTTAGTTCAAACCTTATACATATGTTAAAAAATCTACTAAATATGTACAAAAAGTTAAATTAAGAACTCAATTATTAATACTTGAAAAAATCATCTTAGTATACTCATAAAGTTCAAATCCTAATACCGCCACTGTTTACAACATGCTTAAGGTAGAATTCAAGAAGGAAGATCAAGATCCAAGCTTCGTGGAACGAGCATCCAAGAGGTGGGCTGCCCACTGAAAAGGCCAACAAGAAATGTATATTTTTAGCCGTTTCTAAAGATAATAATCGATATATATATTTTATATATTTTTTGATTATCAAATACAATTAGTTTCGACCTACCGGTTAACTTTGCATTTTGGCCAATTACCCCTTTGAGGAGGATCAAAAGCACAAGTCCAATCGGCCCTCTTTGAAGTCCAATCGGCCCATTTTCAGGCCCAAGTCCATGACTTGATTCTTAGAAGGTCCTAATTTGTGGGGTATTTTAGTATTTTGCTTAGTAATATTAAACATTAGCATAAAAAAATTATTATTTTTCCTTTTAATCAATTTAAAAAAGAAACATCTTTTTATATTTAGTAATAATTTTACTTTAAATTTTTCATTTTACTCTTAACGTAGTGATTTATAGCGTAGGAAATTATGCTAGGGGGACCTTCTTAGGATCACCATTTAAAAGTTAACTCCGGAAGAAAAATCTTAGGAAAATAGTCTCCGACGATAATTTTAGGAAGCGCTCATGGCGAACCAAAAATTTTTCCCATATAAAAAATTCTGGTGATTGCCATGTTTTAGGAAGCGCTGTTGGCGAACCGGAAATTTATCCCATATGAAAAATTCTGGCGATTGTCATATTTTATGTTAAATTCTGGTGATCACCATATGATAATTCCGGCAATTATCATGTTTTCTGACAAACCATGGTGATCACCATATGAAAAAAATTCAGAATTGCCAAGAGCACTTCCCAAAATTATTTATTTTTCTAAGATTTTTTTTATTGGGGTCAAAATTTAAATGGCGGCACAGAATAACAGTATTTGTGCAAATCACCTTTGATAGCCACATAAATTTATATGGCTTATTTTTTATTATAAGTTCGTAAAGTCTTTCTTTCATTCTTAAATTCCGTACTCAATCAAGCATATATCACATAAATTAATATGGAGAGAATATGTCTTTCTTTTGGGAGAAATTCAAAAATAATAAATTTACAATTAGTCGTTCAAAAATAGCCTAGTTTCAAAAGTAATCGAAATTTAGCCACTTTTCATGTAAAGATAAATCTGAGCGAAAACACTGTTCAAAATCCGGAAAATACGCCAGTATATTACTGAAGTTCCAGCATAAGTATACTTGAACTCCAGCATATTATACTGGAGTTCCAGGATAAATATTCTGGAACTCCAGCATAATATGATAGAGCTCCAGCATAAGTACACTAGAACTCCAGCATAATATACTGGAGTTCCAGCAAGTATACCGGTGCAGCATAATATACTAGAGTTTGGAACATCCGTGCTCCAGTCTCCAGTATATTATAGTGGAGCCAGCAAAGTATACCGGTCCAGCATAATATGTTGTTGTTCATACACAGGTGCACCGAACTCCAGTATATTATGCTGGATCGGTCTCTGTTGCAGCAAAATAATGGCTATTTTTCATTGATTTAATAAACACTGGTTATTTTTGAATGACCAATCCGAAAACTAGCTATACCGTGCTATTTTTACCTTTATTTTAGGTTAAGACTTTGATCATATTGAACTAAAACAGATTATTCAATTCATAAAAAAATGGTGAAGCAGAAGAGATGCTGCAATATTTACCAGGGTAAATACTTGTTTGCACCTGAGTATTTGCATTAAAATATACAAACAATAGAAATTGTCGATAGAACTTCCGCCCTTTAGTCTTTAGTATTTTTTTAGGGAAAATGAAACTGTATAGGTGTTTTTAAAATAATAGTCGAAAATTTATATTTTTTTTATAAAATATATATTCTGTATGTTATAATACATAAATTATAGTACAAATTTTTGTATACTTTTTCGGCTATTGAATATAAATAGTTTCTAGAACCAACTAAAAATGAAACAAAAAAACCAATTTTTTTATTTACGAATATAAATAGCTCAAACCTTGTATATGTGTTAAAAGATCAACTAATTATGTACAAAAACTTAAGTTAAAAACTCAATTACTAACACTTAAAATAAGTATCCTACTATTTAGAACTTATAAAGTCCAAATCCTAACTTGTCCTCCGTTTACAACATGCTTAAAGTAGAATTCAAGAAGGAAGATCAAGACCATTCATGGAACGAGCATCCATGAGGTGGGCTGCCCACTGAAAAGGCCAATCGGCTTCGTAAAAATGGCCTTTTTACCTACCTATAATAAGAAAAAATTTCATAAAGCACTATCTTTTAGTAGTAATTAGCTATTTATAGATACCATTTGTTATATTACGGAATATAGATACTTTTATGTGGTTATAAAATGTATTTGATGTATTTAAGCTATTGTATTCATGAATACAGTAGCAAAAATAGGCGTGAATCAAGGAAGTCCAGCTAATCAGTTATTGTATTCGAGTGTATTCGACTGTATTCATGGAGTGAAATATGGGATTACAGCTGGACAGATTATTGTATTGGACTGTATTCACGGCGTGAAATAGGGGATTACACTGTTTTTAAAACAGAAAGTGAATCAATTAACATAATAGACTCCTAATATAACTCAACAAACTCAATTATAACACACAAATTTTGTATTTTTCAGCTATAAAAAAGATTCTCAACCGCAAAATACAATGAAATAGATAGAATACAGAGGGATACATTGAAATACAATGAGAAAAAAAGACACTTAATACAATGAAATACATGAAATACAACGAGATACATTGAATTACAATGAAAAAAAAGATAGTGAATACAATGAAATACATAGAAATACAGCGAGAAACATTGAAATGCACTTAAAAAAAAAAGGTAACAGAATCTTCAAATTGTTCAACCCCAAACTTCAGACCCCGACGACTCATCGGATTCCGACCATGATTCCATAAGCAATTTGAATATATCTCGTGTATTTGAAGATTCTGGACACTCTGTTTGACTTTGATAAGGACATCACTTGATTACTTGCTAATTTGTGAGAAGTAAGTTTCATTTTGTTGATAATTAATTGTGCTTGGAGATGAGAGATCTGTGTTGAGAATTAGTATAAGGAAAATGGCTACTTCAGAGGTATCGATTAAAGGCTACAGCGAGCCAATTGATGGCTCTAAGGCCGGTCTCAGAAACTGTTCGGAGTGCTCCTATTGTCGAAAAAGGCCGGTCTCTCAACCGGATGCGGGAGCCGGAGCAATTTCTGGAGTGGATTTTGCACAAATCCAGTGGAAGGAGGAGGAGATCAGAAATTTTAATGGGATGAGGGAAGAGAGTGGGATGTATCAAAGTAGAGATAGAAAGAAAATAGTGTAACTAATTAACGTATTTAGTGGCTTAGGGCTAGGAGGTAACCAAAATTAAATATTTTATTATAAACCTTAAAAGGTATCTATAGAATATAATTTTTTTAAATGATATTTATTTAAAATAAATAAGGTGTTAACCTTTGCTATAGGAGGTAAAATTCCTACTATAATAGAAACATATTTACTACTTTTACTTAGGTTCCTTATTAATTACTTTATATACCTATATTTACTAGTTTTATACAAAACTTTAAAAAAAAGAGGAAATGAAATATGCCTTAAATAGTGGGTATCAGTTAAACAAATTATCCTACATTTAAGATACCCAAAATCAATACTTACCCAAAATCCCTTCACCGTAAGAAACTCACCCCAAAATTATCACCTCTCTTTGCAATTACCAAATCCCGTCACCGTAAGAGACCCACCCCAAAATCATCACCTCTGTTTGCAATTACCAAATCCCTTCACCGTAAGAGACCCACCCCAAAATCATGCTCTTGCAAATGATTGAGAATATAACTTGGGGTTTATATCTCAATTTTGAGGGAGATTGGTTAAGTTTAGAGTTGTTTTTAAGTGAAATTTCATATTGAAACTCGAAGAAGAAAAGTTTCTGAATTGTATCACGATTGTATTATAACTGTATCATATTTGTTTCATAATTGTATCGAAGTTGTATTTGATTTGTATCTGATATATCAATACCTAAAATAAAACCTAATACAATTATAATATAATATTGTTTCAGAATTTAAGTTTAGAGTTGTGATTGAAACTTGAAGAAGATGAGGAAGATCAGAATTGTATCACGATTGTATCATAATTGTATTTGTATTATAATTATTGCAGAAATTGTATCACAAATGTATGATAATTGTATATGGGGATGAGCAATTGTAAGTTATGAGTTATTATCCTATTAAACAGCTGAAGCAAAGTTAGTAGCTTCTTGCTGAAGACGTGCAGCCATTGAAGAGATAGAGAAGAGGAGATCTGCGTATTGAAAATATTAGGAAGCATGAAATGAGGAGAAATGTGAAAAAAAAAAGGAAAGGATATAATGGAATCCCTTAATTAAAGGCATTCACAATGGGATGAGATTTTTGTAAGGGAGGAATATATACAATTTATAAGAGAAACCTAGATACTTTTTGAAAACTATAAAACCTAGAGAAAATAAATTAATAAGTTCCTATCATGGTATATATAGGAAAAACTCCCCGTAAAAATTGCACGGGCACCCTACTTGGTTGCCCCTATTTAACCTATACCCACTTTTTACAAAAGTTTTAACTTGTACTCACTGTTTAAACAACTCCAGGCTCTTTCTCCTTCTCCTTCGTTTTTTGAATGCTGAAGATTTAGATATTGTTATGTGGTCTAGCCTAACTTATATTTGCTATTTTAGTTCTTTACAACTAGGAATTAGCTTCTGGACCGTCCAGTTCGGAAATTTTAATTTTAATTGCTACTGAAACATGAAAGCACGACTTGATTCCCTGTGCATTAGGTGAAGATGTTACTTTTACTAATGGTCTTGTTTTATAGGAGTATTGCTTTTTTAAATTTTCTGATAATTCCATTATAGCAACTGGATCTTAATGACAACTTGTCATTGTTGTTTTAGAACTTCAGCTCTAAAAATGCTGAAGTTCAGCAAATATAAGCAAAAATTTCAGCTCCTAGAATGCTGAAGTTCAGCAAATACAAAACAAACTTCAGCCCTGAAGTTCATCACAAATATAACAAAGCTTCAACTAAAATATGCTGAAGTTCAGCAAATATAAAACAAAACTTCAGCTAAAACATGTTGAAGTTCAGCAAATAGAGAATAAAACTTCAGCTACTAGAATGCTTAAGTTCAGCAATTACAAACAAAAGCTTCAGCCAACACTTATAACTTTTTTTGCAAAGTAAATATAAGTTAAAACGTGACCCAAAAAACGGGTATAGATACAAATGCTCCATCGGCTTCCTTGAAGTCCAATCTCCCATTTGAGGCTCAAGTCCAAGACTTGATTTTTAGAAGGCCCTAATTTGTGTGGTATTTTAGTACTTTGCTTAGTAGTATTAAATAGCAGTATAAAAAGATTATTATTCCCGGTCATGTGATAATTTTTCCTCTTGATTGTTATGGTTTCATTTAACAATTTGAAAATTTGTACTTATTGATTTGATATTTTTTTAATGAAAAATGGATTCAAATCAAATTACGAACACTCTCAAACCAATAGGTTAAATCATTCATTTTTTTTAAAGTTGTCTCCGCGTGACCTATAAAGGCAGAGGTAGAGGCGGAGCCAGAATTTGAAAGTAATGCGTTCGGAATTTTATTCCTTCTAAGTTAATGGGTTCTAAATTAATAATTTTTACATATTCAATAAATTTTTAAAGACAAATACAAAGTTTGGATCAAAGCTATTGGGTTCGGCCGAATCCGCGTCCGAAATTCTAGCTCTACCCCTGTCTATAGCTTACGAGTTTGAGCTACGAAAACAAGCATTAATACTTAATTTGAGTCGGCTGTCTACATCAAATCCTTTAGAATATGACTCTCCTCCGAATCCTATATAAATACGGAATATTGTGTATCGAGCTGCCTTTTATTCATATTTTCTTGTGGCTCTAAAGGCCCCATGGTAGTTGCAATTGGAACTTGATATTGGTACCCTTCGTATGATCATATATAGAACATGCACTCCCCCTTTCTCCTTGGTCTTGATGCAAAGAACCTCCTATCCACAATTTCCTCCCACTGCCACACTCTTGTCTTCTCAACCATAAATTAAAAAATAAAAAAATAAAAAAATAAAAAATTCTCTCTCACACAGTCACACATTGATGCCAAAGTCAAGATTTGTCCATGTAAGCAAGATCAGATTCTTGGGGAAGGAGAATCATATTCTTTTGATGCCACATCAGACATGTTCACGTGGTCTTTCTCCACGTAAGCATTTCAATCAACAAAAACCTTGTCCACCATATGATTATCTTTTTTCCTCAGCCCATCACACTATGTTCTTTCAATAATTTATCTTTATGATGTAGTCCACGCTATTGGTATAGAATGGGTGGGTTGAGCTCTTTAAAAAAAATTATTTTGAAGTAAACTTTAGGTTATAATATACTCCATCCGTTTTAATTTACGTGAACGTATTTTTTTAGTTTGTGCAAAAAAGAATGACCCCCTTCCTTATTTAGAAACAATTTATCTATACACAATGATTTATTGCCACATAAAATATATGTGTCTCATTTTACACCATAAGATCAAAAGTCTTCTCTCTTTTTTTAAACTCCATGCTCAGTCAAATGAGTTCACGTAAATTAAAACGGAGGGAGTATATTTTATGAGCTCTTTGAGTTGGTGCAGATGTACCACAATTGACGTAGGGTAAATTTATAGCCTAGACTATATTAGGGGCACGTGAACCCAAGGGCAGATTTATAGGGTAGTTTATAGGGTATGTGAACTCATGATTTCTCCATCAAAATAAATATTTTGTTTATGTATTTTTAGAATTAATCTAATATTATTTGTTGGTATCCACACTCCACAAAGGCTGAATGGTGTACTTAGTTAAATACCGAATTATTTACATAAAGGAACAAGGATCAATTTTATGTAATACTTTTTTTTCTACTTTCTTTGGAGGTGCACCCATAATTTCGAAATCCTATATTCGTCTTTGCATGAACCTATGGTCTCGCTGTTAAATTAAGAATTTTGTATATATGTTTTCTAGAATCGATCTAGTGCTATCTGCCCATCGTCCAAAAATATTTAATCGGACCACTTGATTGAATATCGAGTTATTTACTTATGGGAAGGGATCAATTTTTCTGGAGTTTAAGGAAAAAAGGCTTATAATCAAAATAAATTATAGATATTTTTATGGCTTTATATCAGTTCATCAAAAACATAAAATTAAAATTAAAATTATTTTAAAATAAAAAGAAAAGTATGCATAAATTTAAAATGCCATAACACTTCAAACAACCTACTTAAAAGTATAAATTTTCCTTTGTTAAGACCTTTATCAAAGTTATTCAAGATAAGATAGAACAAGTGGATCAGGCTAAATTATTTTGACACCCTTATCCAAGTCAGTCTTTTTTCTTTTTCTCCTTATCTAAGACATTGATAATTATCCAAAAAAAAACAGATAATCAAAAATTGAAGGCCATGGAATGCAGGTGGGTTTCACATGGGTCAATCTCTTATGTGGACTAAAATTAGCCATATAAGCAAACACACAGAATCTAATTTCTTTGGTCATTATAACACGTTGTTCCCTATGCTATTCGAAGCCACTTGCATAAAGAAAATATCCTTCCTGTTTAGAATTATTATGTGACTTTATTATTTAATTAAAGGTTTCGAATTTAAATTTAGGTATAAAGTTATTTAAGTTAGAGAGCGTTTTAACTCGAATATTAGATTGTTCATATAAATTCGGATATAATCGAATCCTAATATGTCGATTCAGAATTTGAAAGTGGCGGAGGCATCGTTATCGATTAAAAAGTTTGAGCCAATGCAAGAGTAGGAATCGAACTCACGCAGTGCGATAAGGGGTTATTGGGTATAATGGATAAATAAAAATAATTTTGGGATAAAAATTGAGTATCGTCTTATCTCTTGTTTGGTTACTAATCCTAGGATAAATTATTTCAAATTAAAAATAGTACCGAGATAACTTATATCTGCCAGATTAACAATTAAGAAATAATATCAGATTAACTTGTTTGTGAGTTAATATAATTTGGTGCAAACACCCGGTGTTGATAAGTGTTTATCATATCAAAATAACTAATCCGGGAATTAATTAATCCGAAAGTTCTATGACTTTTTTTTGCCTCAGAGTTGGCCTCAAGTTGTTCACTAAAGAAAGAAGGTAAAACTATAAATATTCCTAATACGTATCCATTCAAATCTTTTGTGCGGCTTAAGAAGGGAGAAATGAATATTATTATGATCTTATTGTTTCTTGACCCTTGTCTTTTGACAATTAATATTTTAATTTTACCATCATTTCCTCTTGAAGCATTCAACCATTACAACTCAAGCAATACCAAATATTAGTGATTTGCATAAAGTACAAGATTAATGACTCAAGCACAAGAGTTTAACATAAAATATTTGAACTTGTCTGTTCCCAACGAGTTTTTTGCACTGAAATTCAATTGTATTGAATATGAATATTCCAATAACAATTTAACATTTAAAAAAAGAAGCTAATTTATATATATTGAGAGTATAAATAATTTTTATACTATCATTGTATTTTACTCCCTTTATCTCACATTATGTGAAGGTATTTAACTGGACACATAGTTTAAGAAATAAACGAAGAATTTTGAAATTTATGGCCTAAAATGAGCTAAAATATTGTGTGAATATAAATAATCTCATTAGGAATAAAGTAAATATTTTAAAGTTAAATTGTTAATACTAAATATAAAAATGTGTCATTATTTTTTGTATTGACAAAAAAGGAAATAGTATCACATAAATTAGGAGGGATAGAATAACTTATAGTAACAAAAAACATATCGAAATTCCAAGTTATTATCCTATACTTATTATTGATGAGTACTATCTTTTAGATGGTCGGATAGTATTACATTGTTAATATTTAAGAATTAATAATAATAAAAAAAAATATATATATATATAGCGAGTATTTATATCAAATTAATAAAAATAATAATACATATTTGCATATAAATTAAATGCAACTTGATTGTTTAATATTTTCAGCAGGCAGCTAGGTAGCACCTTGCTAGAAGTGTAATAGCCATAGAAATATATACAAGAAAAAAAAATAGGGGACCCATTCCCAAATAGGAGAGACAATTCTTCCAATATAATATAAGATTACTAGTTGCACGCTTTCAATCCCCTATTTTCAGCTTTGTCCATCCAAATTCCATAAACTTTAAACCCCTCAAACATTATTAAACCCCAAATCACTCAACCCTCAAATATTCCTCCTATTTTCTTGAAGCTCATATATTTTTGATTGATCGATCGAGATTGAGGCGTAATTATTGTTGTTCTATTTTCTTCGAAACTGAAATCACTCAACCCCCAATTACTTCTATTTTCTTGAAGCTCCTGTATTTTTTAAGAGATCGAACTCAACTTGTTTGAGATTAAGGCGCCGTTACTGTAGTTTTATTTTCTTAAAAATTCACATCACTCAGCCCCTAATTACTTCTATTTTCTTGAATTTCCTATTTTTTTGAAGAGATCGATCGAGATTGAGGCATAATTATTATTGTTCTCTTTTCTTGAAAACTCAAATCACTAACCCCCAATTACTTCTATTTTCTTGAAGCTCCTCTATTTTTTAAGAATCGAACTCAACTTATTTGAGATTAAGATGTCGTTATTGTAGTTTCATTTTCTTGAAAATTTATATCACTCAACCTCCAATTACTCCTATTTTCTTGAAGCTCCTGTATTTTTAAGAGATCGACCTCAACATGTTTAAAACTGGAACGTAATTATTATTAATTCATTTTCTTGAAAAACAAATTCACTCAACCCCCAACTACTCCTATTTTCTTGAAAAAGCGGACCTCAACTTATTCGAGACTGAGACGTCATCCTTATTATCCTATTTTCTTGGGGAAAAAATAGATATGAACAAGAAAAATTGTGAGTTGTGTGAGAAAAACAAGGCAAGAATGTATTGTGAATCAGATCAAGCAAGTCTTTGTTGGGATTGTGATACAAAAGTTCATTGTGCTAATTTTCTTGTAGCTAAACATTCAAGAAATCTTCTTTGTAATTCATGTCAATCACTAACTCCTTGGTCAGCTTCTGGTTCAAAACTTTCACCTACACTTTCCCTCTGCAATTCTTGTCTTGAAAATACCTCGGCGGCCGCCGCCGTTCATTTGCAGAACCAAAATGAAGAAAGGGTTGAAGAAAATTATGAAACAGAAACTGATGAAGACGAAGAATATGAAAGTGAGAGTGATTTTGATGATGAATATGGTGATGATAATGAAGATACTGAGAATCAAGTTGTTCCTTTGTCGTCTTCTCCGTCAATTTCTTCTTCTTCTTCTACCGGCAGTTATGGAGATTTAGCTGCCGGAGACGGCGGTGACACGGCGGCTGTTTCTTCTCCGTGGAAGAAGCGATTAAGGGAAAGTGATTGCCTCCATTATGAGGTAGGTGATATATTCACTTATTTCAAAATTTACAATTTAATGTGTTCATCCTTTAAGTTTTTATTATGAGTTTCGAATATAATACTTGTTGATAATTTTATTAAGTTTTAACGTACATTTATATATTGTATCAATTACATGGTTTAAGCCGTGAAAATAGTCTTTTACAGACAGTAACCTGTTGTGGCTCGGCGGAAGTTTAGTGCACCGGGTTGCTCTTTTATAATGAAGCCAAGTAGAGTCAAAATTTTAAAAAAGTAAATACATGAAAAAGGGGTTCAATACATGATATATATACATAAAAAAAATAGTTTACCTATCAAAACAGTGTAATTTTTCAGCGACATTTACACCCGTTGGAGCTATATGGCTCAGCCACTGTGTGTCAAAGATTATTGGGTTCAGTTGGACCAATAAAAAATTGAATCCATCTAGTTAAATCTTGAATTGATAACGGAATCAGAATTTGAACTTAATGGGTTCAACCTGTAAAGTTACTCGATACTCTTTTGAAATTATGAGTTGAGAAAAGATTTTGTGATTTTTTATATATATATATAACTATGTTTTCTTTCAAAAAGAATATTAGGTTCAATTAAATTGATGGCTCAAAAGCTACATCTGTCGTTGATCGGCATCTACATATATTCCATTGTGCATTCGTAATTTATATGTTGGATCCGTCTCTTTACAATTTTAGGACTAATATATACTCTACTAATTATGCAGGATGAAGAGGCTTGCTCCTCGGATTTGAACTCCAACAATTTGTTGGAAGAGAATAAGGGAACATCTTCTTCAATGGGATTCTTGAGACCAATGAAATTGCTTAGGACAAATGAATTGTCTTAAGATTTCAACAAAATATGATTTCTCATTAGCAGGGTTGGAGATAGAATTTTGAGTTTATGATTTTAGATAAATTTATTTCGTACGTATTAAGATAGAATTTTGAGTTTATGATTTTAGATAAATTTATTTCGTACGTATTAAGTCGAATTTCTTGATACAAATATAGGAGTTGAGTTAAAGTTACTGAGTGCTATCGAATCAGTAAACAGAGTTGTAGATTGTCGCTGCCCGTTAGAAGTCTGTAAACCAATTTAGTAGTTTTTTTATGGGATTTTTACCTATCTATACCATATATCAAATTTTATTACCCTCAATATTTAATGTTTGTGTTTATTACATTTAAGTATACCAAATTACTATTTCTATATCATAATTCAAATTAGGGATATAATTAAGGGTTCATTTATATTAGGCATAATTATAGGACTGTATCTTCCCACTTTCTCTTTTTTTTCATCTCAACTGTTCACAACACACACACAACTCACGATGTTCCTATGCTTCCTCTCGTTGATCATCCCCAACTGCCCACCACCGTCGAAGAATATTATATTTTCAGATTCACAAGAAAATTTTAAATTCTTTGATCCAACCGCTTGAATTCCCACCGGAAATAATAATGGCAGAGAGTTCGAAATTCTTTGACCTATTTTTTTTTTGGACAGTGGTTGAAGGTTACTGGTTAACACAGTCGATTGAAATTCGAAGAAGAAGATGAGGAAGACATATTTCCAGAATTTGTAGATATTTTGTAGTCAAATTAGAAAAATTGTAGATAAATTGTAGACTTTTTTTTTTTGCAGAAGATTTTGTAGAAGCTTTAGTCGTTTTGGATTTGTGAAAACAAAAAATAATGCATCTATAATCAGAATACAAATAATCTACAATTTATCTACAAGATATCTACAAAATAGATACATTGAATTTTAATATCCAAATTCTCATTTCAATTGTAGCATAATTGGCATTTTCGACATAATTGTAGAAGATTTGTAGAAGTTTTAGTCTTCCCAATNGAGCTTCAGTAGCTTGCGTTTTTTGAGAATTGTAGTTGAGTGAGAGAAGAGAGATCTCTTTCCGTTGAGGAAGGAGAGAATTACGCAGCAATTCGAATTTGATGTTGACATAATCACACGCAGATCTTGTGCCTCATTTTAGGGCTTTTTTATGGCAAAATCTACCTATTTTTGGATTGGTATATAATTTGTAGTAAAAGTGTGGACTACACGGATAAATAACAAATTATGAACATTTTTGGTAATAAGATTTGATATATGGTATAGATAAGTAAAAATCCCATTTTTTTTTATTTGCACCGTCTTGTTTCTTTTACATTTAATCATTTTGACAACAAGAGATATACACAAATAGTTTATATCATTCCTTTGTTTACTTTTTCTAATTTACTTAGAAGAATTATTGAACCAAGATTCATTGTTTTTGCTAAACTCTCTATTTATTTAGTCTATTTTTCTACCTCTTGTTGCTACATCTATTACAATATAATTCCAGTTCCTGATTTTGCCTTACAGATTAGAACTGCTCCGACCGGATTAAAAAATTTGGAAGATCAATTCTTAATTATAAATTAATATAATTTAGTATAAATATTGAATGCGATTAAGTTAATGTGCATTAGAAAAGAACAAAATATTAATTTGTTGAGGAAAAACGTGTGATAGATACTAAACCCCAGCATTACCTCATTATTTAGAAATAACAAAGCTAGGAATAATTTCACACTTTGGCTTCTGCCACATAGCGGCTGGTGACAGCAATGCGGCTAAGGGTGCTCCTGCATGCCAATAAATATGAGGTGCTTATACATGCATATACACATAGATTATATGTATATTGACATATTATTAAATATTGTGCGTTTTGAATCAGGCTGTCACGATTTTCTCAATATCTCACACCATTAAGAGTATCCCGACACTTTATCATCATAACCACTTAGGTTGCCATCTAGGTCTCGGTCGGGGGCAACTTCCAAATTATAGTCTTATTCTTCTCTTTCCTTGATTCGCGATCCTTGTAGCTGAATTAATCCCCCATATGTTGGGACCTGAATCGTGATGGTGCTCTTCTACAACTTCTTCTATATAAGCTTTGTAACTTGCAGAACTGGAAAAGAAAGCTTTTCCAAACCCGTGTTGATTTAGTTTGCGTGTAAGTTAACTACTTAACGAGGACAGCTATATCACGCTCTCAAACAAGTTTAAGTCGATTATATAACACCTCACTAATCATTCTTCTTCATTTAAAATTTTCATCTTTAGTATTACACAAAATAAAAAGTTGTGAGTAATAGAAATTAGTATTAGGACCACTATTTCCAAGTGCAGGGGGATGGCCTTAAAGTTCAATAAATCAAAGTTGTGGTTATTATTTACTCAGGAAAGTGCTGCCCCTCTGCCCTGTATTCTTGCACTACACTTTTTTTTTTCTTTTTTTCTTCTAATTAAAATACTTACTTTTTGTATATTGATTCTTAAATTGGAGAACACTCTAGTGAAACAAGGAGTTGTTTTTTGTTTCATTTTTGGCTTCTCCTATATAACCAATTCTAATTTAAAGGCTTAATAACTTCTCTGTATTATAAATATATTATATTATAAATGTTTATTTAGTACTCCGTTGTAAATAATCTTCCTGAAGAAGCTTATCCATATGGGACTCCACCGTAAATATGTTTATCTATTTAGTACTCTATTGGAAATAAGCTTCCTGAAAAAGCTTATCACTTCGGTACCGGTTATGGATAAACATTACCCTAGGTAGAAGATTATACATACCGAGTATAATAAGCTTATCCATTCAGTACTCCGTTATGGATAAACATTGCTCTCAGTAGAAGATTATCCATATCTGGTATAGTAGCAGCTTACACAGCAACTTGCAGTAGCAGCTTACACAACAACTTGCGTAGCAACTTATACAGCAGCTTGTAATAGCAACTTACACAACAGCTTGCGTAGCAGCTTACACAGCAGCTTCCTTTCTTCTATAAATAGAAGAGATTTCAGTTCATTATGTACATCAGTTTGAATTCGAATAATATATCAGCTTCTCTCTACTTGTCTTTACTTTATAGTCTTTATTTTATAACACGTTATTAGCACGAGACTCTGCCATCTCGAGCAAATATTTTGAAAGTATCTGAGGTAAGAACTTTCTTTTCCTAAATAATGTCAAATTTTTCTAAACTTGAATTTGTAGCCCTGGATATATCAGACAAAAGCTACATATCTTGGGTGTTTGATGCTGAAATTCATCTTGATGCGATGGGTCTGGCAGACACCATCAAAGAC